CAGCAAGGCCTCTCCTCCGTACCTGGAACCAACCAGAATGTCGATGCCTTAATTTCCACAAAAATGTGATTAATCTGACACGGCGAAAACACTTGAAACGATATATTTTTATTTGCTAATATACTTAATTTTAATACGTGAATAACTTGCCAGTTGTCAAATACGTATTGTACCTGACTCCTCTTTACTGTGGACTCGATCGTGTTTTTAATAACTTGTAGAAGGTAGTGATAGGCAGACAAGGAAGCGATATAACGTAGTGGAGGATTGGCTGGTGGAGTGCCTGTATTTTGGTCATAGTGGAGTATAATAAATGAGAGCGACCATAAACTTGTCGTCTAAACACTCAACATCACCCACCAGTGTCCCACCGTTGGCCCGCAAGAAGGGATGAGACTGTGTTCGGTAGTATGTTATTTTGTGAGGGTGTCGGACGGCGAGAAGCAGAAAGAACTTCACTGGGGATATATTTATAACATTAATGAATTGATTTGATTTATTTTTTCCAGCACTGGTTTTCTTAGTACAGAGTCTGTGTATGTCTCTGATGCTTACATTGAGAAAATAAGGAAATAGATGAACTTTGGCTCATATATAAGGAAGTATTAGCAACAGAGAAAGGGACGGATAAACAGAGATAAGAAAAGTAAAAGAAAACTAAAGAGTCTAGCGGTCGACGAATAATGAGGGGGAAGGTCGTCACTCACACCTGTCTGCCTGCCACTATCACCTGGGAAATCTTGACTGTAAGCACCACATTTCCTCAACTGTCTCGTGAAAAACTGGGTCATTCATGGTCATTTAAATTCACCGGGGACCTGTAATTGTGTTTATGAGGTGCCCCTTTGTCTCTCAACCTGGGAGCTGAGGTCACATAATTAACAGATACAACTCAGGCTAATTTGGGTCCCATATTAAATGGGAGGGTGTCGACTGTGCAGGGAGGTAGTTGAAGGATTTTGCCCATAATCTGCCATTACGGGTGAAATTGGAATGTGATCTCTATAATGAGGTGATACAGGGCAAGGTAACAATGTAGGTATAAACTTACTGTAGTGATAGAGTTTAAGTAACAAAGGATGGTGTTACAGTAAACCACCGTTACAAAGGACGTCAATGAGTACAGTTGCATGTACTGTACAGGACACACACACACACACACACACGTATGCGTAAACAAACACACGGAACATAAGAAAATAAGGAGTCTGCAACAGGCCTATGCATGGCAGCTCCTGTCGGGAGTTACAACCACTCTCTATCACCCATGAATCTATTTAGCCTCCTTTTAAGACTTCCCAGCGTCCCAGCACTTACTACATAGTTGCTAAGCTTGTTCCACTCATCTACCCTATTTGTGAACCAGTTTCTTCCTATCTCCCGTCCTCGAGCAGCTGTCAGACACCACAGCTACATCAGGCCTAAAAGATCAGCCACACTGCTGTAGTCTCTGTAACTTGCATATTCACCCTTTTTTCCCCTCTCTCTGTACTGAAAGCTCTTGTAATTGACCCACTTCCCAATGTCACCTTAAATGTGATCTATGTTCCTTGTATCTTCAGCCGTTGGTTGTTATTTTCTCTCAATAGATCGTTAATTATTATTATTATTATTATTATTATTGTTATTATTATTATTATTGTTATTATTATTATTATTATTATTATTATTATTGTTATTATTATTATTATTGTTATTATTATTATTATTATTATTATTATTATTATTATTGTTATTATTATTATTATTATTATTATTATTATTATTATTATTATTATTATTATTATTATTATTAAAAACTCGCTCGCGTGTGTAAAGGTAAACAAGCAGGTTAATAGACACACCATGTGCCGTGCTGTATGTACTGATTGCCTCCACGCCGCGCTGCTCTGAGCTTCAATTTCACTACATAGAAAGAACTCAAATTCCCGTTGTCAGACTTTGTTTCAGTGTTTTACAAATGTTAGTTTTTAGTGTTTTTCCTAAAACATTCCATGCCACATAGATATGGAAATCAGAGCGAATGTTAGTATTACTATTTATATATGTATTTCATCAAGTGCCTGATGTAACTGTACTGAACTTTATTTATATCAAGTTGGATAAAAGTTAACTTACGAAAAAAGTAGCTGATATTTACATTTGTATTTGGTTCACATAGTTTGGCTTACTCTTGCAGGCTTCACTACCATCCTTATTAATCAGTCTACCATCACCCGGAGGTCATGGTGAACATTAGATAACAGTGTATAACTTATATTCCTTATGGTGCATTCTTTAACCTGAACCGGATGAATATTGTTCATCATTCAAAATCTGGAAAATAACGAAAATTTAAGCCTCGTATTCTTCCTCTTTATAAATCTGGTTAAGTTTTAGATGACAAGTCCGCCGCCTAAGCTATTATTTTTGTTAACTAGTTCCCACAGGAAAAGGCAGTGAGTGTATCCTAATACGGAGGACCTACGGTGATCAGTCTTCTAGTATAGTCACCCTTTCAACGTTTTCCGTTATCACCAACCTGTGGACGAGCGGGGAGTCTATCATATGACAATAAGCTCAAAACACGGATCAGGAGGTCACCTTTTCACCCACCAAAAGGTCATTCTTAACCTTTTTGGGGCAAACACGGGTCACTGATGGGCTTCCTTTCTTACCTTTATTTTCTCTACTGTGTTCACCTGACTGCCCGGACCCGCCGCGTGTGGTTAATGGCAGCAGCGTGGTCCAGCCTGTCTCCTACAACACATCTGGCAGTCAAGATTCTGTAAACAACGTCTGGCAGTCAAGATTCTGTAAACAAAATTTTAGCCAATACTAATATATATATATATATATATATACACACGAGTATATTATTTTTTTTACGTTATTTCTGATTTCACCTCAAGTCAACCAGTTAGGATTATTCTTCACATATAACTTTGATTACGAGGAAAAATAATCGTACGAACCTTTGTGCATCCTCTTACTAAACTCGTAAGTGTCCTAGATATTGTTTAGTCTTATTAACCAAAGACAAACATCACCTAAAACGTTCAGATGAGAGAGTAACCTAACCTAACCGAACCTAAATGACTGTCTATGTTGATGGGTCTACCAGTAAAAGCCAGCCAAGTTCTCTGTATGGTTGGAGTTAAAATGCTTCTCACCCACACGTGAACATTTAGAATTACAAACTATTTATTTACGTGTTGTCATTATGAACTTGTATGGCGATTTTACTGAGAACTTATCTATCTACCTACCTGGCTGTCTATCTATCTATCTATCTATCTATCGTCCAGAGGGGGTTGTACACCTTAAAACAAAATATCAGAGTCCCTGTGCGTTCAGATTCATTCTACTGAGATCCCAGACACCAAAACAATAACTCTTACATTAATTCATTTCTAACTGCTAATGATCCAATAGACACAACAACATCCATTACCTCGATACTCAGTACCAGTCAACTCGCTACATCAGTTCATAGACTCCCAGTGCACGATCACACCTCCTGACCTTAAAAGCAAATCCTTGGAGCTAAACAATAACAAAAGAGGATCAGCACGAAAACGAATGACTAGTGTACTGTCTGGTGAGAATCGATTCCGTCTTTCGGCTTCATAAAACCTCATTTTTATTTCCTTCAAGGCGCTTTCAAAGGAAAAATTGAGAGCGCGTGGACGTGAATGACTGCCCCCAGGAAATTCCTTTAAACCAAGCGTCGCACAATCATCTCCGTTTGCCTGGACACAATGCAGATGGTGAGGCCCGTGCTAGCCACATACAGGGGAAAGAAAACTCGATTCTTAAGGAGACAGAGGAGGGAAAGTTTTGAAGGTTTCTGGTACCTGAGGCGGAGTTGCTTTTCTGAGTTTTATCTCTGAGGTTGTGTGTTATCATGGATGCTCTTCTGTTCTGTTTCATGTACTGCAAGAACATGGAAAACACTCTTGAGGGTAATACGGACTATTAGGTAAAGTAGAGAACTGATAATTAAAGGCTTGATTGTGTTCAGGTAAGAATTGTTAGTTATAAAGACAGTTAAAGTTGAAGTTCTTACAGTTTGGCGCCACTTGTTAATATACTGTACTGCGCAGTGTTCATTATTATTATTATTAGTATTATATAAATATTAAGATCGGCACCAGGTATTTACACACACTCATCGAGATATAAATGCAGCTCCAGTCTGTAGCTGGGTATAATACCTGCTGTTCACTTAAGCCTGAAGTTCTCACAAGCCTTAACACATAAAGCCACACGTAAATAAACTGACAGGAGGGAAAATAGTGAGAAACAAAGTTTTTGCAACACTGTATTGTCACGTTGTTGACACATCAAGATATTTGAGAGGGGTGTTAGAGCGGTACTTCACACTTATACCATCACACAGACGCACTTGCAAGCGCACAGACAGGCACACATTCTCACATTCGTGGATATACAGTATATATATATATATAAAGACGAAAGTTAAGGCGCTCCATTGTTTCCCTTTTCCCTGTGTGATGTTATCAAGATATATATAATGTGTGTGTGTGTGTGTGTGTGTGTGTGTGTGTGTGTGTGTGTGTAGAGATAAAAAAAAATCTTGATTTGTGAAATGTGATAAAGTCTTGTTCATATTTTTATGATTTATAGAAATGTAATAAATATTTGTTGATTGACACCATTTACTGACCAACACTTGTTACTACACGTGTACTTATGTCACCTTTAAGAAAGTTAATAGAACAACGTGATTCATTTATAAGCAGCACATATTTTACGGATAGTCTTAAGTTTAAAATAATTGTTTCTAATTGTCGCTCAGTTAAAAGGTGACAATAGTTACTGATTTTGTCATTTCTAATTCATTAATATACATCATAGGAATATTGGTACTGTTTTGTTTTATGCCTTGTTATCTTCCAGGTTTTATTCACTTACTTTCTTAACAACAAACAACTATTGCTGAAAACACTGAGGCTAGATTTATTATGATATGGAATTAATACAATAATACACGGATGTAAGCTTTAAATTTATTACGTATATGAACTTCATCTCTTTATGTACATAATATTTACAATGACATTAAAGCTGAAAGCAAACAGAGAACAACACTGACGTGATGATGTAAATGGAGAAATGATACAATGAGTTGGCGAGTGTTTCAGGTCGCTGAAGACTGAAGGCTCTAGCTCATCAGGTCAACGATGGTGAAGCCTCTACGCTGTCGGCCCAAATGCTGGTGAGTCGTGGTGTGCGCCGAGGGGGTCATCGTACCTTCCAGCGCCTCTACGTCGATGACCTCCTCGTTGACGGTTATGGCAGGCGCTGTAGAGGAGTCTCCCGTGGGGTCTGTGTTGTTTGCTGGTGTGGTCTTGGTTGTCACTGCCACTTGTCGCTCCTCTTCTGTGTGGCCGCTTTCGTGTACTGCCAGGGTGCGCGCCTGACAGAACCCCTTGCCACACACCTCACACTTGAAGGGCTTCTCCTTGCTGTGGATGTACTTGTGGTCGCGGAGGTGGTCTTGTCTCCTGAAGGCCTTGCCGCAGATGTCGCAGGGGAAGGGCCGCTCGTCCGTGTGTGTTCTCTCGTGGATCATGAGGTTGTAGCTCTTGGTAAACTCTCGGTGGCAGAATTTACATATATAGCGCTTCTTGGGTCGTGTTAGTCGCCCACCAGCAGACAGGAGAAGCTGATTAAACTGATCGGTGCCAGCAGTCATCGCGACCCACGGGAAGGCACCGAAGGAGAGGACACCGTATGTGTGAAGAACACTAGAAAGGCGAGAGTCCATATTAGGGACACCGGGCACCAAGGGCACAGGAGGCAGGAATGGCACACTCGAGGGTACACGGCTTGGCACTTGGGATACCAGGGGACTAAATGCTGACATTCTGGGACTCAAGTTTGTAGCAGTGGTTGAGACGATGGCGGCGGGCATCTTCCCAGGGAAGTGGAAGCCCTGGGTGCTGGTGGGTGTTGAAGGGGGCGTGAGAACTGTTGCCAGCGGGTCACGAGCCGATATGACTGCCATCATCACCACTTGATATGCTTGAAAAGAAACAGTTACTCAGCGACTGAGTACTTCAGGTGCACTGCCCAGGTCAGTTAAGGTGAATGTGAAAAAATACACCCGATTTCCCTGTATATATATACCCCGCCATTTGAGAGTGAGAGGCGATTGGTCGAGGGGCGGAGCTAAGTCGAGTGTGGGAGGGGCGTCGGGTGGCGGTCCCTTTATGTAGTCTGATTAGAGATGTTCATGAGCGTGTTTAAAATCTTCTTATGTACTTAGTAGTAGGATGATGCTTTAAACATTTGAAGGTCATTCACGACAGATAGATAAGAAAGGGGAGTAAAGAAGACAGCGCGAAAGTATTCCCACTTAGAGACAACTACAAGATGACGTAAGAAAGTACAACCGACCACAGAGTTGATATATGGGATAATAATGATATAGTCCCTTACTGAGTCAAGGTTAACATGGGTAGAAAACCAAAACACAAAAACAAGATAAGTGACATAATAGTGAACTTGTACTCAGGCTGTGTTGTATTACTTGGTGGCGTCAGTATCAAACACAACCAAGGGAGGGAAGAAGGGAGGGAGATAAGGAAGAGGGGGAGAAGGATGGGAGTGGTAAAGGGTGTATGGGTTAAAATGACATAAGCTGTGTAGGAGATTATGATGGAACTATTTGAAAATGTTGGCCAGGTGTGACTGTGTGGGTTGGCCAGGTGTGACTGTGTGGGCTGGCCAGGTGTGACTGTGTGGGCTGGCCAGGTGTGACTGTGTGGGCTGGCCAGGTGTGACTGTGGTAGCTAATACTTACAGGAACAACACACACACACACACACACACACACACACACACACACAATTCGTCACATAAATTACTATACTTATGTTCACTCTTATTGGTTTTGCTAAGTTACAAATTAACCCCAGGAAGATAATGAGCCGTATTTATAGACTGGACTAATTACACCTCGGCGTATCAGAATACCTGGTACAAGGCAGTTTATCCGGTCGTGTGAAATGGGTTAATTGGCATAGACTAGTTGACGGTGGTTCTCCCTATAATTTCCGAGGATGTCAAAATTATACCAAATTGGGAAGTAATCGTCAAGTAATTAGGGCAAAATTCTTAAGGGGAATCCAGTCGTAGATGTAGAGTTTAAAAGTGATACCGGGTTTACTTAATAGACCAGTGTTTGTGGGATAACTTCGTTCTACTGTATGAAAAACGTGATGGTCGGTCCCATAGGCATGACAGCCTGTCAAGGACTGTGTAGATATGACACGCTATACTAAGCCTGTGATATGGTGGCTGGTACTGCACGTGATAACCTTCACTTCCTTAAATTGTAAATTTAAGCAACCATTTACAGCCGGGAGGACTGGTAGTGTTCTGGGATGGAACAAGCGATCCTTAGGACAAGAGACGAGCAGGGTGCCCACTCAGTCCCCGCACCCCTATTTATAGAACAATTTGGTTTATTAATCTAAACTCTCTATAATGATAATAAAAGGTTCCTTTAAACCAAACGACAAACACTGATTTACTTAACGACAGATATTTCTAGCAAGTTTACTTGTTATTCATCGATGTGTTTTGTTCAGGTGGTGTTAATCTCCGAACACCTTCATGTACCGCTGTGTTAAAGAATGAAATCACATAAATTGAATGAAGTGCTAAGCGATATTGTAGCCTTTTTTAAATAGTAAATAGTATTTCAATGATTACAATGTTTTACTTTAAAATTGGCTGAAATAATGAGAAAGATGATTACCTGAGACAGGTTCAGGTGTGTGGGTACCTGGGACAGGTTCAGCAGGTTAAGGTGTGTGAGTACCTGAGGCAGGTTCAGATGTGTGAGTACCTGGGGCAGGTTCAGGTGTGTGAGTACCTGGAGTAGGTTCAGGTGACGACCGCTAAGGAGCGACGGTTTCTGGGTACAAAGGTAACCTAATTTCCGTCTCTTGGTGGAGGAGATTCACGGTGGAGTCTTACCTTCTGGGCCGCGGAGTGTCGTGTTTTGGTTTGTGATTATAGGATATTTTGTCAAGGTGGCGGAGGAGGGAAGGTGTGGGCATACCTGTGGTCTGCTACAGGTTTGTGAGGGCGAGGCTTAAGTTGTGTATTATCTCCACAGGTCCTCTGCTTCAGGACGGTGGCTGATGAGATACTTCAGTTTATGTACCTGGATTTGGTTAGTGAAGTGGAAGGATTTCTTAACTTTCCTGAACAAGATGTTTAGTTAATGTTCTGAGTGATATACCTCCGTCACACTACCTTTAAGACGACTGCAACGAGAGACACGTTCCTTGGCCAACAGGTAGAGTTGCTCACCTGTGTTAGTCGGTGTGTTTATGAGAAGGTGTCTCATATCCCTTTAATGCTGGCTTTTGTTAATATAAAGTTCGCGAGTCTATCATTGCTTTAGTCAGAGGTACTTTGCTTTGTTGGACCTAATCGAAAAATTCCTCTCTTTCAGCTCAACCATGTAGGGCAAAATAGGACCACTTGAAGTCAACAAAAATGACAAAATCAGCCATGGAGGAGCCCATAGAAGCCACAATTAGGCTTCTTTTCACCTCAAAAGTGGCTACAAGGCTAACCCAACGTCAAGCCCCCTCCAGGGTCTTTGTGTCAGGAGCGGTGGTCACTCGCCGAGGGTGGCAGGAGGGGGGAGAGAGGTGCTGGGCTGGACAAGGGCTAGAGCGGTACTGGGACACGCTGCTGGGGTTGGGGTCTACGGGGGAGTTTAAGAGGTTGTAGAGAACCCGAGACCAGGTGGCCGAGGTGGTCTGTTACCGTCCTCCACAGAGCTTCACACAATCATCTATAAATTAATGACGACAATCAACCATGGCGGCATTATTGATCATACACTTTAATTTTTCTGGAATATAGCTTCAAGATTGTTAAGAATAGGCAGCAGCGAGGTGACAGGTTGGTGAGAGTCACTTCACAGGATTTTAATGGAGAACAATAAACGGTGGGAGTGTAGGGCGGCGGAGCTGAGGAAGGAGGGGATGGTGGGGCGGCAGGGTGGTGGAGCTGAGGAAGGAGGGATGGTGGGGCGGCAGGGTGGTGGAGCTGAGGAAGGAGAGGATGGTGGGGCGGCAGGGTGGTGGAGATGAGGAAGGTGGGACAGCAGGGCGGCGAAGTAGGAGTGTGGTGGCCTGCCGCTGCCCTCTGGTGAGCCAATTAGCAGTAATGTGGATCAACCACAGCCACACTTCATTATGGCTCCCGCTGGCCGAGCTGTGTGGGGTCGTGCTGCTCACTCACCATTGTCAAATACAACAATTTCCCTCTTGGAAAGGACATGATTTTGTTTTTGTTTTTTTATTTTTATTTACAATCTGACGAAAGAATAAATTACCACTAAAAATATCAACAGTGTTCAGTTCTTGATGCGTTAGATTCCTGACACTGTACAGTCTGTTATGGGGGAAGGCAAATTAAACTAAAATAATGTTATTCTAAACACAAAGAACCTTTCTCTTACATCCGTTGTGTCTCTGTTTAAGTGAGAATTTTAAAACCCTCAACTGAACATCTGGAAATAATGAGAAAACAAAATATTAAATCAAAATAAGGATGAGAATAAACATTAAACGAACATGTGATATACTGGGTGAGAACAGGCCTCTCACACATGTGTACACCCACACATGTGTACACCCACACATGTATACACCCACACATGTATACACCCATACATGTATACACCCACACATGTATACACCCACACATGTATACACCCACACATGTATACACCCACACATGTATACACTCACACATGTATACACCCACACATGTATACACCCACACATGTATACACACATGTATACACTCACACATGTATACACCCACACATGTATACACCCACACATGTATACACCCACACATGTATACACCCACACATGTATACACTCACACATGTATACACCCACACATGTATACACCCACACATGTATACACCCACACATGTATACACCACACATGTATACACCCACACATGTATACACACACACGTATACACAATGGCTACCTTTACTTATACTGCGATACTCATATGGTATAAATATCTGAGTGTTGGGGAAGGCACACACACACACACACACACACACACACACACACACAGACACACACACACACACACACACACTACGATATTTTTGGTTGGACGTAATTAGTTATTTATTGCATTTTCATTACCTGATGTATAATTATTGAATATTTACCAGTTGAGATTAGCTTTAGTTTATCCAGGTTGATGGAGGGAAGGGGTGTGTGTGTGGGTGGGTGGTGTGGGGGTGTGTGTGTGGGGTGTGTGTGTGTGTGGTGTGGGTGGGTGGTGGGTGTGGTGTAGGGTGGTGTGGTGGTGTAAGTAACACATTTTGTCTTATAGGATGAAACTATTCTGAATGTCTTTTATATATTTACGAGACGATCAAATATTTCGTCTTTAATCTGATCTGTCCAGTGTCCAGTCTTTTTAATTGTTCCAGACGTAAGTATCCTCACTATCTTCTTGTTTATTACGTTCTCTTTGTTCTATCTGATTTCTTCATCCTTTACGAGGTTCTTCTTATTTGTTATTTTCTTCATTATTACATTTAGTTGATCCACCTGGAGATCCTTCACGCGATCCTATATTTACCTTAATTTTTATTTATTTATTCTCTGTACTGAGTATACCCCACCCCCACCTTCTCCAATCTCCACTTCCTGTTATTCTCAATCTGCTCTGATTCTATTCTATTCTTATTTTACATTTTCTCTTGTGAACAGCCCTGGGAGTCACAGAGGACCATTCACAGCAACACAGTGGTGGGGAGGGAAGGGAGATCTCAGAGACAAGAGTGGTGTTGGGGCGCCATTCTCGCCAGGTAAAGGAGTACTAAGCGACCATTTGTGGTTGGCCCAAGCGTTCCTAAGGGCTACCTATTCAGAGCACACAACCCTATACACGGTCACCAATTTTGATTTTTTTTTTGGGGGGGGGGGATTTTTTTTCTGTGCGTTATCTGAAATTCACTTTGAGTAATATCCAATATCTGTTTTTGTACTGCGTATTCTGACCATCAATA